TAGTAAAATACGTTAAAATAGCCGCCCTCTACCAGAAGAGTCATTAGACAGTGTGCCATGCTTATAGTATTCATATACCAAATATGAACAAAATCGCTCGACTACTTTTGTTGAGTTACAGCAAAAATCGTAAAATAACGAGTAAAGGCCGCCATAGTTCAATTCTTTGAAGCCAATGATTCTAAAAGTACAACATATCTTTGAAAAAATATCATTCTGTTAAGTGAAATTGTAAAAAATATTTTGCAATGTGTGAAATTGAATTAAAGCACATGATTCAATGAATAGTGGATGCTTCAATTCACTTATGTCTTCTAGTCTAGGCTTTGAATTCGGACTATCACCCTCGTTCATAGTCTAGAATCAGGACATATGTTAAATTTAATCATCTACAATGCATTGAGTCATTGGCTTAAATCCTATAATATAATATGCCTATCAATATAATATGTAATTATCTAAGTATCATCTCAATGCTTTAATTTTAATAGAATTATTTTAATATTTTACTAACTGTATAATATGTACTTTGCATTACTGTTGATAAATAAATAAATGATTGCACTGTTCAGTAAAGAAATATAGCAATTGTATTATTTAAACTGACTATACACTATAGAAATGATTTTCATTGAAAAATCAAATCAGTACCAAAATTATGGTTACCCTGTAGTAGTGAAAGGCACATTAGAAATGAATATCACCCCCTTCAATCTATTTTTACAGGTTTTTATGATTATTTCAGGTTTTTCTATAGTTTGCGTAACCAGGACGGTGAATTTTCTTCATTTTTCATCAAACATTTCGTCTTACCAATATTTATTATATCTGTCAATTTTATCAAAATCGCGCCGCTACGTTTGAAAATAATTCAAATTATGTAGTTTTTCCCATTGAGCTCCATTATAAAAATGGAATTTTCAAACTTAATATTTTAAAATTCTGCGTGGTGAAAAGTTGCATATTGAGTAGTTAGTTAATGTTATGGTGTTAAAAATTCAAAACAAAAAGGAATAAAGAAAAAATGCCACAGAGAAGTCTCAATAGAGTATCTTTAAATAAAAACATAAAAAGTAGTCAGAGTTAACATGTATTGTATAGTGACCTACTTATATAACAAATGACTTCTTAGATTTCAAACATGGCTTGTTGGTTCACATATCTCTGCCAGAATGCAAACAACAAAAACAGGTTTTGATGGATGGATGACACTGTTGTTTAAGTGAATGCATTCAAGTGTCCTCGGAATGACGTACTAGCCATTCTTTCATCCAGGACACCAGACAACTGTTTTGAAGAGCATATCATTGCAATACCCAACAGAAAAATCAAACTGGTCAATTTTAAAATTCGATTTAAAGTTACACAGAGTGGATTCAACGAGGAATAAAGTAAACAGATGTGTAGTTAACACTATTAATTGTAAAGAAATAGAATCTGAGGACGTAAATTAAAATTGTAGAGAGAAAAAGTGAAAAAACAGCATGACCATCAGAGGGAAAATTTAGTTAGGGTTATTGTGAATTGTTACAACATGGGACCAAAGTTCCTCAAACAACTGTGCTCATCATTTATTTGTTGACAACACAAAAACATTTGAATTGAATTAACGGCCAGAAATTCCCAGGGGTGCCTTAAAATACAATACAAGAAAAAAGATTTGAAAAATCTGGCGCCTGTGGAAGATCACATTATCTTTAACAGAGATCATAAACCTGGCATAATACCAGGGAGGGTGTTCCAACAAAGTATGGTTGACATTCAATCATAGAAAAGCTCTGTTAACCACATGTCTTTAGCTAATATAAAGAATTTTCCCATGGCTTTTTGAAGTTTCTATTTTAGCATTTTGCTCCTGGACAGCCTAGTCCCTGGTAGTTGAGTCATACACCCATGTAGATGTATGCTCAGATAAAACTGAAGTGCTTTTAATTTAAAACATATTAGAGTGTATGCCACTTAGCTGTTTACAGAGATTCCCTACTGGTTATCTCTATGGGGAAATGAAAAATATTGTCTTTTATTTTGTAATTCAATCCATACTCCATAATACATCTCTTGTCTCGGGTTAGTTGCATCATACTGAAACTACCAATCAGAAAGGCCAATCAAAAAATTCCCAGAACACCCTGCATGACGTTAACCTGCCAGAAAGAAATCGTAGATAAGAACAGGTTTCACAAGGTAACTAAAGTGTAGTTTAATGTAATAACCAGTGGAGCCAAAAGCCACCTAACAGTCATTTAACCCCACTTAAAGATTCCCGATATTGCACTGGTATGGCACCACATCATCTACTTTGAAATGTCCAAGAAAAAACGTTGGAAAATATTTTTTCTGTGCCACACGGATCGTACTTGAGAATACCTGGTGGGTGAAATTAGGCCCACTGTCAACTGAAACCACATATTGCCAAAATAAAAACTAATTCTGTGATTCCCACGTTCAGTTGTGTTTGGGACACCTGAGATACTAAAATCTGATACTCCTCGAGTACTTTTGTCTCCATAGGAAAAGGCTTCACTTTCAGATCAACTATAACCACTCTTAAAACACTTCTCGAAAATCAGGATTGTTTTTCTTGTGGTGCTTTCATTCAATTATTCTTGGTGTTCAATTCTGAGTTTGCTTCGTCATTTTTTATAGCCGATTATTAAATCACTAAATTAAAAATTAAAGTGGGTAAGAATCTTATGATAATCTGGCATCTGTGAAGTAATCTGCGTTTAACATGTTTATCATCATGGTGACGATTATAATAGTGAATTATGGGGGATGACATGATGTTTACAAAAATATTGCAGTGTCGATGTCAGCCTGTCCTGACACAATGACATCATGACAATCGACCAACCAAATCACTTGACTGACTGACTGAAGGACTGTCACACAGATGCGAAAACATTCCAGACCCATAAGTAAAAGTTCATGGTAGTCGCATTTTCAAATGCAAAATAGCATGAAAATGAGTGGAATTAGCAAGGAATAAAGCTATCAGACATGTAGTGTACACTCTAAATTGTACAGAAATGCAAGAAAATCAAACACTTTATTCAAATTTTACAGAAAAATTAAGTGAAATAATCATGAACATAATGATGTATAGAAACCTCTTGTATGATATTACCAATTGCCAAGAAGAAACATATTTGTCAGTTACAGCTAACAAGGTAACACATTGTTGTCATTATAAAGGGCACTGACACAGACATACTATATAATCAACTCAAGGAACACAAAATGTCAATCTGAGATCACAACAAGAACAAAGGGCAACATTGTATTATAATATTCAATAGTCACTCAATTACCCAAATGCGAGTAGGTAGTTACCAGTTTCACCACCAGGTGGCTGATTCGGGTCAATTAACATGGCAGGTATATAAGAAAGTTCCCTTAAACTTGAATATTATCAATTTAAGTGGCTCAATTTTCATATAACCCTTATGTGTCTGATACTTATACTAATGAAAATATGTCCAGTAAAGCAAAATATTATCTGTCCACTCAAAGAAAAGATATTTCATTTTTTGTGATTTTATAGCATGGGGTCTATGGGGAATCTCCCCGAGCTAGAAGTCACATTTTCAAAGAAAATTAATTTTTCAAAGTTGATAAACACTTTTTAAAATCATATTTCTAGATGTAATTTTACATGTAGATTTCAACTATGATATTACTTTGACTGAATTTTGAATTTTTAATGACGTAAATCAAGATTATTTCTACTCGCATCTGGGTTATTATATCTACAAAATCATATTTCTGGTAATTTTTAATGGGGACTGTTTCATCTAAATTTGCAAGTACATATTTTCTTCAAAAGATATTTTCAAACTTTCTTTAATTTGTCCAAGATTTTTTACTATCATTTTAATGCTATTTCTAGATGTTGCCCAATGTGCTCCCAGTAATGGTCATAATAAAGATACCCAAACACTCCATATACCTGTAGGCTGACTGCTAGCTTTGTGTGATTAGTCATTAGACTATCAAACCAGCAGACAGGTTTGTAAGTGTAGGCTATAAAATCACCCTATATATTCTTTATGCTGTCTCCTCAATACATTCTCTGGCCAGCATAATACCCTAAATAGCAAACTCCCTTACTGGAGTACTCTACATTTGATGCCATACAGTATCATCAAATCATATCCCAAACATGGTCCAATAAAGAAATCTCTAAAGTGAATATACAAAAACATGTACTTTCATTGATTAATTTCAGTTATGAATGCTTTTGTTATGGGTGACAGGGTGGATAATATAACATACGCTGTATATACACCATAAGTGCTGGCCAGTGTATTGGGAGAAAGGGTAGATATAATGTAAGGTATCTGAGAAACTGGACTGATAAGCTAAAACCTGATGATCCACTAATCTGTCTACCTAATTCAATTATCCTTGCACCTAATGGAACATTCACTTAATTATCTCTACAAATATACAAATCAAAGCAGTTTTGAATATGAGTATCTGGGTATATATACAATTCAGACTTCAGATACAATGTACCTGTTGTACTCAGACAATTAATACTGGTGGGACTTGGGTCAATGGTGGGACTTGGGTCAATGGTGAGACTAGCATCTCTATTTATGGGACTAGAATCACTGGTAGTGGGACTTGAATGATTCTAAATGAGGTTCCAAAATACTAGTCTGTACAAATTTTAGCCAAAAAGAACACAGTATTTGCGTGAATTCTTTTTATGAAACTAGATGTACATAAAATTTGAACAAATAAATTATTTTTACAAATTACAATTAACATTCATTTATTCTAATGCACACACTTTTCAGATTTTCTACACAAGTAATTTTAATTACAGTATACAGCTTAAAAGATTTAGAGAAAATAGTGATCAACACCTGAATACAGTCAACCATCACTAATAAGATTATCCACATATGCAATGTTGCAATTAACATGATCTCAAGAATAAACAAAGAAAAATCTGTATAATAATCGTTAATCTGCTTTCATCATTGTGAATTCGTGTTGGAGATTAAATGTTCATTTTGAATCCAATAATGATGTTAAACATTCAAACTTGATTTTAACCCACTCCCAAACTTATATTTTTAATATACTTATAAATGTTATAATAATAATTGTATTTTAAATCTGAGAAAAAATAGTTTAACGTTCAGTCATCAGTAAGTCATGCATCATACGGTCATACCCAATCTGAAGCAATACAATAACACATCCATGCCTCTACACCCCTGGGACTCCCTGACCCCACATCTATGTATTTACACCCCCCAAGGTCACTAATAGCTGGCTTATAGTGTCATCCAGCAAAGCATTAACACTGTCCATATTCGCCAGTGTGGTCACAAGAGAGGACAGAGGTGTGAAAAGGTCTACCTCAGCAAGGTGATCACAACCAGGACCGAGCCAGGCGGCTTCACCTAGACACTTGACTAGCATCATCAAGCGATACACAGAGATACACCTATCACTGTAGGATAGACTTTCCATTAAACTAGCTAATGTTTTCTGATCAGTTTCCAAATTGATAAGACAATTGATTTGATCCTGGAGGTTGCTTACAGCTTGTTGGAGTCTAGTGTGTAAGAGAAACTGGTTATCAACTGATAATGGTTTATAAGTGCTTCTAGCAGAGAGACCCTGTTTACTGTTACTCCCAGGGTGATGAAAACTCACTGGAGTATCTCCTAATACACAATCTGAATCGGCGCCTTTATCGCAGACTTTTAAATCCGAAACGTTGTTTTCCATTTGTGACTGATTAGCTGCATGCTGGGATACGGTCTTTTTATGACACGTCCTGGAGTTATTGTGATCTCCATTTACGGGACTCTCAGGCTTTGATCCCACTTGGGTTGATGTGTTTTCAGGGAGGTGTATATTTTGCTCACATTCTAAAGATGCTTGGTGTGTTTTTGTCATTTTTCCAGATGTTTCATTGCATTTTTTAGATGTTTTTCCCACTATTGATATCACATCATTTATTCTATTTGTGTTGGATATAAGGGAGGTTATTTCCCATGGTTCTGAGGATGTTTGCATTGCAAGCAAAACCTCAAGGTATTGGCTAGATATTTGAACAAATATGACATTGTCCATGTAGGAATTCAGTTCACCTTTGTCAAACAATCTGTCTTCATTTTCCTGCAAATAAATACAAATAAACAAATACAGACATATGTCAATTTAAGTTTTTACTCATTTAAAGATGGCAGCATGTGATGGTGATGAATTGATTTAAAACTTCCGAGTACATGGTTGATGGATAATACCAAGAAATTGTTTTTGTAGGTGCACTGTACTGTAGTGACATCTTTATGAAGAAACAATTAATAATGGAGGTTTCCTCATTTCCAAACTTGTAGTCCCTGATCTGGACCCTCTGAAAAAAAGTTTTGTTGTCCGGTACTTTCCCACATAAAATGATTGTACCGTTTGAAAGAACAGACTTCCCTCTAAAAGAAAACACCTCTTCTATTAATGTAAACAGGGGCAAAAGGCACCAAAACGGGGTTAGACAAGGTGGCATTCTGAAGTCTCACTTTCTTGTCATCACGATTCCAGGTAAACCATCAGACGGATTTACTTCAAGTTTTCACCCATGTTACATGGTAAGAAGTTCTAGAGCTGATTAACTTTGCGGCGGCCATTTTGCATTCTGGCAGCCATCTTGGAATTGTTTTCAGATAAATATTGTCATCGCGATTCCACAAAAACCACATAACAGATGTACTTCAAATGTTCACACATGTTACATGGTAAAAAGTCCTAGACCTCATTATTTTTTCAGTGGCAATCTTGCATTCTGGCAGCCATCTTGGAAGTTTTAAGATAAATCTTGTCATCACGATTTCAGGAAATCCAAACGGATTTACTTCAAATTTCCACACATGTTACATGGTAAGAAAATATAGAGGTGAATAACTTTTCGGCAGCCATCTTGCATTCTGGCGGCCATCTTGGAAATTTTGGGATATTCGTGATTCCAGGAAAACAACCTAACAGATTAACTTCAAATTTTCACACATGTTACATGGTATGAAGTTCTAGAGCTGATTAACTTTTCAGTGGCCATCTTGCATTCTGGCGGCCATTTTGGAAGGTTTATAGATAAATCTTGTAATCAAGATTCCAGAAAAACCACTTCACAGTTTTACTTCGAATTTTCACACATGTTACATGGTATGAAGTTCTAGAGCTGACTAACTTTTCGGTGGCCATGTTGCATTCCGTCGGCCATCTTGGAAGTTTTTAGATAAATCTTGACATCACGATTCCATGAAAACCACGTAACAGTTTTACTTCAAATTTTCACACATGTTACATGGTAAGAAGTTATAGAGCTGATTAACTTTCCGATAGCCATCTTGCATTCTGGCGGCCATCTTGGAAGTTTGTAGATAAATATAAAATACAGTCAAAGCAATAAACCACCAACAAAGGATGCTCTCATTCTCCATATAAATAGAGCCAACTATCAGGCCTATATTTGGCGAAACGCAGGCAAATCAATGATTGATTATCAATCCCTCACATTACATGGTTGGACATTCAAAGGGAATAAACTGCAAATTAAGTGGATGGAAAACGGTCCTGCCCCACATGAAATAATGGAGCTTGTTGCTTGTAGTTGTAAAGGAGCGTGTGACTCAATGAGATGTAGTTGTAAGAAACAGGATCTCATTAGTGGAAGTTCATGTAAGTGCCGCAAAGGTGTGTGTGAGAACTGTCCAACCGCATCAGCACAATGATGTTGATGAGAGCGACAATGAATTTGAACCAGTTGATGACACCATTACACCAAACGTTGAAGATCAGGAAGAAAATGAATTACCTGAAAATCTCTTTCCTGACAACTGGATGAACCAACTTGTCAAAGTTGATGCCATAATATGAATTATCTCACCCTGTATATACACTGGTGATCCGCTCGATTACAGGTACGATTTGTCCTTATTCCTTATTTCATGCATTGTAGGCAGAATCCTCTCGACGTTTTTTCTCACAAACGTGAATCAGTATCATATGTCTTAGAAAATGTACATGTTTGCGAAAAATAGCTCAGAAGACGACAGAATCGTCAATTTAATTCCTAACTTAAGTTACATAAAGGCTTGGGTTAAAAGTGCAGATCTGAACTGTTTTTTCGAAATACCGTTTATGTAACTTAAGTGAGGAATTAAATGTACGATTATGTTGTCTTCTGAACTATTTGTTTGCAAAAATGCACATTTTCTTAAACATATGATACTGATACACATTTGTGAGAAAAAATGTCGTGGGAATTCTGCCTACAAAGTGTGAAAGGAAAAAGGAAAAATCATACCTTCGATGTTCCTACATTTCGTTACCGAAACAAACCGTTTAGGTAACCAGCATAATCGAGTGGATCACTATAATGTACTTTAGTAGTCTTTAATAATGTTAGGGAGGATGAGTTGTAAGGCATACTATGTCATGTTAGATCATGATCTATACTATTTTTTATTATTACAATTTACCAGTTACACTTTCTCCATGCTAGGTTCTGTTATAACTTTTGTTCTGTTTCCTATGGCATCCGTGCTTTATATATTTACATTCACAATGTTCCCTTCCTGGTATATTTTTTTAGGTTTTATGACTGTTAAATTCTATAGTCTAGTTAACACCACTTTATAAACAGGTTTATTATTACTGGTGTAACTAACACAACGAAAAAATTATAATTAATTTATTTGATTTTATATAACATGAAATTATTTTTTCTTTTCGATAAAACATTGCTTATTAGAAATATATTTAGTTATAAACTTAGAGTAAACAATCAGTTCTTCTATCACAAAGGTTATTTTGGTTCAGTAGATTTTTCTATACATTATTTTTATGTCACCACCACTAGTGATTGGGTGACATATTGTAATAGCTTCGAACGTTTATCTTGACACTGTTCAGTAGTTAATGTGTACTGTATACTTAACAAGGTGTGGTGACATTTTGCATGTTTCTGCATCGTCACTACTATTGAAAGCTTATGTTGATATTGTAGCAGTGTTTTTAAGTTCTTTTTGTTGGTACAATTAGTTTCCAAACCCTATACTTATATCGATCTGACACACAGTTTTAGTGCAGGTTTAAGTGATTTTTGTTGATTATTAAACGCAAAGAGCACATGTGTCTCGAACTCGCAACATTGTGGATACGGAGCCCATTCACATAGTTTGACATGCTGGTGCTCCGAACCAGCTCGATAGTTAATATCTGACTAAGAGACAGCTTGCTTTCCCGATGAAGAAACGTTATCTGCAGCTTTTATGAGTACTATAGTATCTACAACTATTTTTGATCTTATGAGTATTGGATATCATTATTTTCAATTTTTCTTCAACATGTATTTTAATGACTTCAGTATGAATGGAATGTCCCTCGGAGTTGTGGTCGTTGATGAGGAATTGGTCATTGAACGGTGTGGATGCTGTTTATTCCCATATTAGATTATTGTCTTAGGATATTCAGGTTTGATTTTTGTTTGCCAGTTTTACACTTTACAGTTTGCTTTTCCCAGTAGGTTGCTTTACACCTTTTTCCTTTCTCATTTGTCATTTTTGTTTATATTTAGTAAGGATATGATACGCAGGTATCTCCTTCTGTGTGATCACCTGTCCAGAAGATAATTCAACTGCATGAAGAACATTTCGTTGACATGATGCACAATGAAAGGTTTTCCACACATTTACATTTTCGTTTAAAAGAGCTTTAATTCCGTTATATACTCAGATCAAGGTCAATTTAGCATACATTTCGCTCTCAAAAATCGCTGTGCAATAATGGATTTCAAAGAAATGTTTGACGTTTTCAATTATCTTTTTTCTTTTTGATGAAATGTATTATTTATTCTAAAAATCAATCGATGTCATACACAAAATGCATTTAAGTGGTATAAAGTACAGAAGCAGAGTAAAAATATGTATTTTAGAATATCACCATGTGTTACCCCATTGTAGCGCCTCTTGCCCATGTTTCTATCAATATAAAACATGATATCATACACCAAATATGCATTTATGTCAAATTATGTGGTTTAAAATACAGAAAAATAGATAACATTCTCCTTAGAATACCACCTTGTGTAACCCCACTTTACTGCCTTTTGCCCCTGTTTATATCAATATAAAAGGTAGCATGTAACCTTCCTTGTAACATGTGTAAAAGTTTCAAGAAAATCAGTAAAGTGGTTTTCCTGGAATCACAATGACAAGATTTATCCAAAAAACTTCCAAGATGGCCGCCAGAATGCAAGATGGCCACCGAAAGGTTAATTAGCTCTAGAACTTCTTACCATGTAATATGTGTGAAAATTTGAAGTAAATCCGTTTGGTATTCCTGAAATTGTGATGATAAGATTTATCTTTAAACTTCCAAGATGGCTGCCAGAATGCAAGATGGCTACCGAAAAAATAATGAGGTCTAGGACTTTTTACCATGTTACATGTGTGAACATTTGAAGAACATCTGTTATGTGGTTTTTGTGGAATCGCGATGACAATATTTATCTGAAAAAAAATCCAAGATGGCCACCAGAATGCAAGATGGCCGCTGCAAAGTTAATCAGCTCTAGAACTTCTTACCATGTAACATGCGTGAAAATTTGAAGTAAATCCGTCTAATGGTTTACCTGGAATCGTGATGACAAGAAAGTGAGACTTCAGAATGCCACCTTGTCTAACCCCGTTTTGGTGCCTTTTGCCCCTGTTTACATCAATAGAAGAGGTGTTTTCTTTAGGAGGGAAGTCTGTTCTTTCAAACGGTACAATCATTTTATGTGGGAAAGTACCGGACAACAAAACCCCTTTTCTAGAGCCCTTTTGGAGATCAGATCGGGGACTATTGATACCATACCAGGAAAATCATGAAAAATGATTCTGGTCAAAAAGCTGTTTAGAATTTCACAAAAATTAAAAAATTAAAATCTTTAACAAAATATCAATGGAATTAAGATCAGAACACTCCCTGGGAAATTCAGAATTTCATCAAATTTAGGGTTTCAGCGAACCCATAACACTGGCGGAGCCAGAGGCTAACAAGGGTAGCCCAAATTTCAAGTCACAAAAATATTCCGCGCATGCACATTGAAAACTTTTGGGCCCCTAAAACCAAAAATTGGGCTCAAAGTTAAAATAAGGCCCAAAACGGCCAAGTTATGCATAAAAAGGCCCAGTAATTACTCAGATGTGAGTTGGTAGTTACCAGTTTCGCCACCAGGTGGCTCATTCGGGGGAAATAACATGGCAGGGTATTACAAAATTCCCTTAAACTTGAATATTCATCAGTTTTAGTGGTTCACTTTTCATATTACCCCCTAATGTATGTGAAAGTTATACAAATCAAAATAAGTCCAGCAAAAGAAAATATCATCTGCCCAACACAAGAAAAGATATTTCCATTTTTGTGATTTTACAACATTGGGGCTATGGGAAATCTCCCCGACCAAGAAGTCACATTTTTAAAGAAAATTAAATTTTCAAAGTTGATAAACTCTTTTTCAAACCATATTTCTAATGTAATTTTACATGTAGATTCAAAATATGACATCAGTTTGACTTAATTTTGGATTTTTAATGACGTAAATCAAGATTATTTCTACTCGCATCTAGGCTATTGAGGCCATACTAAATTTTTTTGAGCCCAAAAATTGTTTCTGGGCCAACTTAAGGGGGAGGGCATGCCTGAATCCCCAGTGCACAATAATAAAGGGGAATGGCTGACTAATGGTTAGGGTATCCACAGGTGGTGTAATATACTTATTGACGACATCCAAAGTGGGCCTACCTTTAGGATGTTTCTATATATAAAGGTTAAGGAATTATTTGTAATATAAATGATTACACAAATTTCGGCTTTGCAATAAAGTATTACAAAACTCCAAATTAGACAAAACATTGATAAGAAAAGAAATATGACAATGAATTTGTAGGAATGAGCCATGAGGAAGCTAAGATTTGTCCTCAAGACAAAGTCCCAAGTAAAGGGGGGGATGGTAGAGTAACATAAATGTACCTGTATGAGAGAGGCGAGATATGGGTCAATATCTGACTCTATCCAGGAAGACAATGTGTTGAAACATCCACTGAACTTTGACCTCCCATGAAGTGTAACCAGTAGATTGATAGCCCTCTCCAGGGCAAAGTTGGCTTGTATTGGATATATAGTGCCTGAAATTATATATAGATAGGCCAAATGTAATATTTAAGAAATGCATGCAGGACATTTTGAGAGCCATGCCTCTAAATCAGAGCAAGGATGCAATCAATGTAACAACCAGGAGAGATGAAGGTGTGTGTGGTTGTCCAAAATATGGAACTACAACATAGTGCAGGTATATTACCATGACAAAATTGATGAAATGGTAACAAAATTATTACAGATGGTGATGGTCACTTAGAACAGTAGTTATAACAATATGTCACTACTTCTTGATGGTTACAAGAAAATATTATTTTCTAATTATACAGGCAAATCCTTTTTTGAATAAAAAAAATATGTAGGCCTATAAGTAATGTCTTAACTAAGCACGACTGTATATCCCAGAAAGCAAAAGTAAGTGTTACACTCAAGTGATATCTAGCAGTAAGCAACTTACCTTTTATGTCAGATACAGCTATCTGGTTAAGATATTGAACACTAGATGCCGCCACTTCCTTGACATCACCATCCTCATCATGGAGTTGTAGAATCAATGCATTCCATGACAACCAAAGACTGTCACCTACGAGTAGATGGCAAGAGTTTTAATACAGGAAAGTTGAAAATAGTTTTGTGCATGGTTTATTAGGCATTTGCGTGAATCTGGCATTATGGAGTAAACAATTCCGGATAATCTTTTCCAGAAAAAGAAGCCTCAACTTAATCGACTAGATGCGAGTAGAAATAATCTTGATTTACGTCATTAAGTATTCAAAATTCAGCCAAAGTGATGACATATTTGAAATCTACGTGGAGCAATATGATTTCAAAAATTGTTTATAAACTTTCAAAATTTAATTTTGTTTGAAAATGTGACTTCTAGTTCGGGTTGATTCCCCATAGACCACATATTACAAAATCACAAAAAGTGGAATATCTTTTCTTGTATTGGACATACAACATTTTCCTTTACTGGATCTATTTTAATTTGCATAACTATTAGATACATAACGGTTATACGAAAATTGAACCATTAAAACAGATGTAATTTAAGTTAAAGGGAACTTTCTAACGCTTTCTACTATACCCGCCATGCCTGCATGCTATCTGACCCGAATGAGCCACCTTGTGGTGAAACTGGTAACTACCAAATCGCATCTGTGTGATATTAGCCAAACAGATAACTATATCTATATTGCATTAGGCAAAGGGGAAATAGCAGGTAATTTGTTGGAAGTGCTAAGTGTTACAATTTATACAAAGTCACTTATCAATTATTTAGGAAGAATACAACAGTCTTTTGTTCTCCTACACCATTAGAATAATTAACTAGATAACAGCAACACCGAGGTGTCGTAAATCATACTATCATTTATTTTTTCATGAAGCACAAACCTGAAAGATGACAGAATATTCTTAACAGAATATTTTAACTACATGTACTAGAAAATGTCTTCAATTTGCCTTTAATCAGAGATAAAGAAACATTTCTGTCTCTCGAAGGCATATCTGAGAAAAAAAATAGTGAACACTTATACCATTGATGTCCTGTTCCCACGATGTGTTCAATAAAACCACATGTAGAATTTTAGTTACTACGGACAGAAGGTCGGATGTCTTCCTGTATCTAAGCAACCTTTCTTCTATGACATCCATGATTGTGATTAATAGAATAGACATTTAACACTCTAATATATACTGATAGAATTGAAACAAACTTGAGACTAACTAATTTAGATATAATTATGGTGTGATATACTATGAATGTGGATTAATCAAGATTAAGAATTGAAATTAAAGATGCCTGCGTTTTTGAGACAAGTATAACCTAACATAAATTGAATTACTATTGGAACTATCGTTGATTGAATTTTTGAACATGTACTATTCCAGTTACATAATACCGTGATACAGTCTGTTAAATGACTTCACTATGACTGTATATATGTAAAAAACTTGTGAAAAATGTCAGGACTTCATGACAGGCCAAACATTAGCTTTAATAATGTGGCAGGACTTCATGACAGGCCAAACATTAGCTTTAATAATGTGGCAGGACTTCATGACAGGCCAAACATTAGCTTTAATAATGTGTCAGGACTTCTGGATGGTGACACAAAACCAAGGAATATCAATCAAACAGGAGCCATAATTTATATAACATTATTAATAGGAATCATAATCTTCGGAGTGATAGGAAATATTCTATCATTGATTGTGCTAAAGAAGGAACATGAACAGAGTACTCGTGTATTCCTGCTAAAAACATTAGCAATTACGGACACCTTATTCCTCATTTCATACATTGGACTTATACCAGAAGATGGATCTTTGGTATCAGATGACACCTATGGGGATATAGTCTGGCTACTAGAATATCTAAATAAAACAGCATCAACATTAACAACATGGGTGATTGTCCTGGTCACAATTGACAGATATATACATGTCGCAAAACCACTTCGAGCTCCAGTAATTGCTACAATGAAACGGATGCGTGTAGCCATAGTAACATTGACTGTCATAGCCTTTATTTACAATTCTCCACGTGTACTGAAGCAGCCTAAAATTGACGACGCATATCATGAAAATATCCATTTTGTTGCTATATATGAATGTGCCCTGGATTTAATATTTCGACATGGTGGGCCAGTAATTACTGTAACAATTCTGAACATTAAACTTATAAATTCGGTTAAACAATCTAGGATCCATGCCGAACACGAAAGTCAAGAAAGCAGGGAGAAACGAAAGCAAACATTGACAATGATATCAATATTGTCAGTTTTTATAGTATGTTCTCTTACTAATACCAGCATTAGAATGATTGATCTATATGAATCCATTGCTAACGTTGACCTTGATCTAACTGTTAATAAGATTGAAAAGTTTGGCCTTCTTTGTAACTCAGCATGCAATGTTATCTTTTACTTCATTTTTGGAAAATCATTTAGAGGAAAAATAAAAAAGATTATATGTTGTAAGAGTTGAAACAAGAGAATTGCAACTCTCTGGAGAAGTGATGACATAATGGACAACATGTATTATTAGATTTAATACTGACATCATTGGTTTATAAACATCAACAGCATAGCAACAGATTGACCGTTGCTATGTGTATCCATGCTCATTCAACAAAGTTGCTATAACAACGGAGCATTGTTGCCATGCGTATCTATGTATTTTCTACAACACTCTTATGACGTCAAAACATTACGGTAATTTGAAGCTATTTTTCCCTCAATTGTGCCAATAGGGAAATGACCAAGAAGAATTACAAAACACAGAAAGATGAATACAAGAGATTGTGTGAGAAAAATCATTGAAAGCCCATGGAAAAAAAAAAAAAAAAAGTTTAGGTAAGAATGAAAAGTCTTGTTTTTGAAAAGTGTGTAACTTATTTTCATGAGTCAACTGTAATGCAACATGTAATAGTGTATGTTTTTACATATAGTAGTGTACGTTTTTACAAAAGTAGTATATGTTTTTACATATAGTAGTATATGTTTTACATATAGTAGTGTATGTTTTTACATATAGTAGTGTACGTTTTTACAAAAGTAGTGTATGTTTTTACATATAGTAGTGTATGTTTTTACTCATATAAACTATTGTGTGTCATGAACACAAGAATAAAAACTTTACACATTTTTATACCTTGAATTTTATGTATCTCTTATTGATTATTATTACCGCTGTACTAGTTTTATATGGTATAAATGTACATATATTTTCAGGCCAAAAATTCTTTCAAAATCATACAGTTTTTCACCATTTTTCACCAAGTGATTTTAGCCATATTTGGGCCAAAATTGTCAAATGTGAATCCCCCCAGAAATTTTTAAAAACTGAACCTCCCCTTGGCAAATCCTGGCTATGGGCCTGCAACATATTTAAAAAATGTAACATTTTGCATAAAGGTTGACAGATCATCTTCCAACCTAAAGAAAAATTGGCCATGCAGAAACTTGTGGACCACTGAAACATTCTAAACTAAATTCAATGGGATGATAATTAATTGGTTTACTAATCTCTTTAAGAGCAATACTTCTAGTAACCAATTTAACATAGAGGCGTGGTATCAATAATATATGAACCTCATTATAGATTAAATTTTGTCAACTATGGCATCTTACTGTTGCATCTAATCTCATTGTATGGATAATATCAAAGATGAACGGTTCAGAAGACTTTTTTTATAAGGTTGCTATTGTCTCTATTCCACTTTCAATTGGAATCATAATCTTTGGAGTGATAGGAAATATTCTATCATTGATTGTGCTAAAGAAGGAACATGAACAGAGTAGTCGTGTATTCCTGCTAAAAACATTAGCAATCACGGACACTTTATTCCTCATTTCCTATATTTGACTTATACCAGAAGATGGATATGTGGCTGAGCTATGGGATTTGGAAGACAGTTACGATAATGTAAAGTGGATATTAATGTACTTTAATCGTACAGCATCAACACTAACAACATGGGTGATTGTCCTAGTCACAATTGACAGATATATACACATTGCAAAACCACTTCGCGCCTCATTAATTGCGACAGTGAAACGAATGCGTGTAGTCATGGTTGCGCTGACTGTCGCAGCCATCATTTACAACTTGCCATTTATTGTTTGGCATAACGGTATCGAAGATGAGAATGGTCAATACTATTATTTCATCTTATATGAGAGCTTCTTAAAGGATCTAGTGCACCCGCCATTATGATCTCCCCATGAACAAAATGAATCATATTTAGGTGTAACATAAAGAATACAATGTCACATAATACTGTGGAAAATATTTAAGCGTTTGGACCCACATGGGCTGAGGTTGAGGTCATTAAGTTCAGCAAGGGTGTATTGACTTGACATTGGATGTGCTCCATTGACTTAACATGTGGATATCATCAGATTCCAATGGAGGCCATTGGTTTCTATTGATTTTCACAAAAAATACCTAAAAAACACTATGACCTGAATCGATTGCAAATTAAATAATTTCACAATATGACACAAATGGTATATCACATCAGATGTGCAAATATAAAGTTTGCAATCGATTCAGGTCATACTTCAAATCAAAGGCTTAGACATTTTTTTCATCATTTTTTCCTACAAAATGGCTATAGGAAAATGCTTCAAAAGCAACTTTTACACTTATGAAATCCCATACAACTTTCTAAATCCAAAGATTATACTGTTATGTTTCATTAATTAATAACATATTTGGATAAGATGTAGGGATGTGTAGGATGCAAATGGATTTTGACAGACACAAAAACACTTCCTGGTTTGGCATCTCGACCCCTGTACACTTTATGATTGAATATTTGCCCTAATAAGTGGCCCATTCATCAATACAGTGCTGAATATAGGTCAAAAAGATACTAGTGTACATATAAATGTAATAATAAAAGCAGTATTTTTATTTTGAAAAATCAGATGAATTATTTTTTTCTCATGGGGAGATCCCAATGGAGGGTGTATAAGGTCCTTTTATACTAAGATTTGTGGGGCCAGTTATAACAGTAACGGTTCTCAACATTAAACTTATTCGTTCCGTGAGACAATCAAGGATTAAAACAGAACACCAAACACATGAAAAGAAAGAGCATTAACAATTATATCAATATTGTCAGTCTTTATTATATGTTCTCTCTTCAATGTTGGTTGTAGAGTGCTTCTTCTGGATGATAAACTGTCTGTAGCAGAGTTCGTTTTTTACAATATTGCACATTTACTTCTCCTTTGTAACTCAGCATGTAATGTAATATTTTATTTCCTTTTTGGAAAATCATTTAGGCAGAAGTTAAAAAAGATTATATGTTGTGATTGACAAAATTAGAAAATGGTCCAATGAACAATATGAATCATTCAGTGAAGTTACCAAGAGTCATCACTATCTGTTACCAGATTTTCTCGCATATGCGCCCCCCTAAATTTAGGCCCATGGGCCAAAAATCGAATGTAGTACGCTTATACGCCCATGGGCCTATAAAAATGACTATTTATTGATTTTTTCAACATTAAGTTCAACGCTGTGCCATAAGTGGCAGTGGTGGATCGTTCTGTTGTTACTTTGTTTCAACATTAAGTCCAAGGTTGTAGGTGACATTTTCTTTATAATTCTTACAAAACATGCGGAAGGACTACAACAGTAGGTACGTTAGTCTTTGATGAACCATTGTATTCATCAGCTCTTCTCACCTTTACGTCCTCTGGGCCAAAAATCGAAAGTAGTACACTTATACGCCCATGGGCGAAAAATAAGAGGTAAAATAACAGACGAAATAACCCCTTCTTTCAGTTATACGCCCAGGGCTTATATGCGAGAAAATCCGGTACTTATTCTGAAGTGTAACTAGGAAAACCAGAAACTCCCCAAAGCAGCAAATCTTACCAAACAAAATACATATTCTATCAAATCCCTAGTCTTTTTGACATTACAGGAAGTAGTAAAGTCAATACTGTCTCTAGTTGGCCAATTCTATTTCACTGATGTGATGTGGTACCAATCTACGAGTCATATGATGACCAAAAGGCCAAATCTCATAACTGGCATTTATGTTTTCAGAGAAATGGTGGTAATTTTGAATTCAGCATTCAGAGTCCTATGCCCGAAAATCACCCCCCCCCCCTAAATCCTACAGTAAAACATATTTTACTTCCAGGTGGAATAAGCAGAGTAACATACTGCTGTAAATAACCAAACCCTATCAAAAATAGAAATTAAATACAGTAGATGCGAGTAGAAATAATCTTGATTTATGTCATCAAATTTGTAAAAGTAAATCTAAAAGTAAATCTAGAAATATGCTTTCAACAATTTTTGGCTTTAAATTTCTTCTCTTCTTTTTGTAACGACTTCAGTATGAATGAAATATCCCTTAGTTTTCTGGTCTATGATTCTGATATTGGACCTGAATGGTGGGAGGAAAGGGGGTATTAGACATTGTTTCTTTTAACGTTAGATCATGATTTTGGGATATATGGGGTTTGCTTTTCATTTTCTTTGCATAATCTCCTGGAAGGGTATAGTCAAGTGTTTAAGAGTTACAATGTGATACAAATTAGTTAATTTTCAATTATTTAACCCCGTCAATGCGAGAGCCGATTAAATCGGCTCTGACGTCACATTTGTGTTTGCGAGAGCCGATTAAATCGGCTCTGAAAAACCTTTGCTTCACAGCAGGAGATCCAAGACGTCATTTCCATTGTTCTTTCGGCAAAATCGCGTAGTAATCTACGGTGATCAGTCCATTTAAATTTCACGCTTTTGAACGTCATGGTGTATACATGCATTTCTAATCGATCATATCTCAGTCAATATTTATCATTATATTATAAATTTGATAATTAATGAAAGCTTATAACCAGGGCATTACGTATGTGAATTTATTATTTTGGTCAGATAAAATACCAACCAGTTACGGGTGCTAAAGTTTTGACATATTTTTCATTAAAAATGCAGAAATGTGTATCATTTTCGCGGGTTAAATAGGCTATTAAAACAAGTCGGGTTAAAAAATGTTTTTCACTCATCATTTAGCCCACATCGAGCTCTTTCCAATGGTATAATTATTTTTTTCTGAAACCCCTGAAGACAAATTTCTGCCAACTTTCTGTAACGACGAGTGAAAAATCATGGTTTTTCCCGCAAACCAATGACGTCGTATTTCTCGATTTTTATACCAAGATTAGATTTGATACGCGTATGATATTTGTTCACGGTCATATCTCGGTCAATATTCGTCATTGAATGATCAATTTTATAGTTAATGAAAGCTTATTACAAGGGCAATGCGCATATGGATAAGTTATTTCGACCCGATTAAGTTGGTTGGTTAAGTCCATATATACGGTGCTATCATGTCACCTAATAGTCTCTGGTGCTGTTTTTTCAATGGTGCTTTACTCTTGTGACTG